GAGATTTGGGTGGGGACACAGAGCCAAATCATATCAATATTCTCCTATTCACTAGGCAATATTGTATATGCCGCATATTAGTTTAATACACCAAAAGTATTTTAAATGCTGTGATGGATAGCCTTATGTGTCAACATGCTTAGGTTATAGCACCCAGGTATTTAATCAAACGCCAATTTAGGTGTTGCTATAAGCATATTTTGTAGATGTAGTTAATGTTCACAATCAGTTGACTTAAGTAAAGGAGATTACCTTCCATAATGTTAGGACTCATCTAATCAGCTGAAGGCCTTAAGAGTAAAACCTGAGGTTTCTCAAAGAAGAAAGAATTCTGCCTCAAAACTACAGAATCAACTTCTGCCTAAAGTTCCAGCCTGCTGCTCTGACCTACAAATTTTGTACTTGCCAACTCCCACAATTACATGAGCCAATTTCTTAAAATAAATCTCTTTAAAAATATATATACATAAATGTGATATTGGTTCAGTTTCTCTGGAGAACCATAATTATACACTAACACAGTGAAAATCAAACTGGTACTATTTTGCTTCAAGAAGCTCTTCCAGGTCATTCACACAAGAGGTGAAAGGGATTCCTCTCCCAGCCCCCTGCAGGTAACAAAGGAGTGCATCATCTGTGCGGAATTTAAAAACTATAATAAAACCAACTAAAAGTCTTTCTGCTATATTATCACCAGGAGCTGGCAATTCGAAACCTCAGTGCTAAAATACTCTTTCCAACTATAACAGACAGCTCCCGCCATCAAGACCCCTAGTAGGTCACTGCTAGTGGTCAACTTCCCCCACCCCCATGCAAATCACTTATTCAATAGTTCTTCTATTCCTTAAGCTCTGAAAATCAAAAATAAAACAAATAATAACAACAAAGGTTAAGGGCAATTGGTGTGCTTTCTACAATATTTTCCATTGTGAGTTATAACCTATCACTTTAATAGAAAAGTTTATAATGTAATGTGACGCCTCACTCAAAGCAAAACTAAGTCTATTTATATAATCCAACAAATTATGATTTAGTATTAAAAGTATTTTAAAAATAATAATAATCTAAACAACAGGTTAACAGTCATAACTGCATGCCTAGAGACTGGAAAATTTGCCAAGATTTATGGGATCAGATTCGTCAGAATGGACAGAGCCCTACCAACAGGGCTGCAGTGACTCATCCCCTTTTGAATCACTCTGAGGTCCTAGTCATCTTGGTCACTATTGGAGAAAACATCTAACTCACCAGAGGAAAAGAACAGAAAATGATACTAAAAGCAGTCATTTTAGTATGTGTGAGTCAACCTTGTTAAGGGCTATGCTCTTCATCAGAGGCAGTTCGGCAGCTGGACCATAAGTTAGCAGATCAACAGTCTGGTAGTTCCTTGCCCAAAAACTGTATTTCCCAGCTGTAACAAATCTTCTTGATTCTAACAAGTGGCAGGAAATGGCTTTCTAACTAGGGTATGCAGATAACTGAGAACGTACTATATAATAAGAAAGTTAATAACCAAAGGGCATAGAACCAACAAGTTCAATTTAGCAAATTACTTCATATTTTACAAACTAGTGATTAAGGAAGACAAATGTCTGTGTATATAAAGACGGTGTTTTGGTTATGACTATTTTCATAGTTCTTCTAATATAGACACTGTACATATTTCACTGTAGCAGAAATAAATAGTGAATCTATAAGAATAACTAGTAATTCACTGTATAAAATGGAAAACTGCCATTATTGGTTAAACTGTAAAATACATCTAAAGCCTATGGAATAACAAAAATAATTTATCTAAAGAGAAAGCTAAATTTACTAAACAATTAGAAGAAAGAATACAATTCCAAAGATTTTCCAGAACACAGGGCAATCAAATGTCAACATACCATTCATATGTATAGCTAGCCCAACTTGCCCAAGAAGGCAGGTGCACTTGTATTTCAACAATGAGCATTTCCTCCAATCATGAACAAGAGTCTAAAGACTTGCATGCATTCTCAAGTGCTTTATTTCTCAAAAACCATGGGAAAAGGTGGAAAAAAAATAAAATCAAGCCTTATCAGATAAACAGTATTGCCTACTTAAAGAAATAAGATTAAATTAAGACATATACAGAAATTAACATGGCAGTTAATTCAATTACTTTAGAGATCAGTGTCTTCATTTTGTAATTTGAAAAATTATTCAATATGCTCGTTTACATGCTAAGGCACTGTTTATGTTTAGGTCTTGTTTTACACTTGTAAATACCAGCAGTCCTCCAAAACATAAGGACACTAACTGTGTATTTCACTCAAGCATAGATATTCAAGGCCATCAATAATTTATAAGCTCGAAAGACACTGCAGTCCAATAAATACAAAATATTGTAGTTTTCCTGAATTAGTTCAAGTCAGACCACCAAATCATACCTAAAAGCTACCTGTATTAATACGGTGATTTTTAAAACAAAATCTTCTAACCTTTGAAATGTGAAATATCTGAAACAAGCAAAGCAATCATCACATCTCACGCTCCACCAATGACAGTGTTATGATTCTTCCTAGCTACCCTGCCCACTTTTTTGCAAAAATTCAATTCACAAGCTTAAAAGCTTCAATACTTAAAAGCTAAGTAAGTCTTTGTAATTACACTGAGTGAGACACTATATGATGTAGATAAGGAAGCACATATTAATCACATCCACATAAATACAATGTAAATAATAACTAAATTAATAATTACCCTTGGTAATAAAAATCAGCCCACATACTAAACACTGGCCACTAGGGAAAACTAAATGTGTACGTAACAATAGATCTTGGGTTATCAATATTTTTAAAAAACACTGACAATGGCAAATACTTATATATATATATATATATATGTGTGTGTGTGTGTGTATGTGTGTATATATATATACATATATATATACATACACGTTTTACACACACATATATATATATTTCCCTTATCGCAGAAATAAAAAGGAACAGTAAAATCTTAAGAACTGCTAGTAATTTGCTGCACCCTGATGTAAAATTGCTCTTACTGGTTAAAGTAAAAGAATGAACCCAACAAAATAACTTTTAGAAAAAATGTGTTAGAAAGTTAGGCAAAAAAACAATGAGCTGCAACTGCAAACATTGACAGCACTGGCTTTCCATGAGGTCATCACCATAATTCTAAACGCATTTAGTTCAATCCATGACAAAGGAAATATGACAAGCTAAACTCTGCAGGGCAGAGAAGAGTCCAAAAGGTAAACTGGTTGGCTTTCTTGGCTGAAGAGGACTTTCAACTACTATCAGTTTGACAAAGAAACGCAGAATCTGAGTGAAGCAAGAGTTCAAGCGGTCCCTAGGAATGTACAACATTTTTCCGAAATCCACACGCGCGGAGCGGGATACATTTCTTAAAAATAAATAAATAAATAATAAATAAAAATAAATTTTAAAAACCAGCATGAATTGCAAATGAAGCAACAGGAGTTCAGCATCCAATAGGTGGCTGGTCATCTTTCTGGTTCGTTAGGTCAAGACGCCCTTCTCACCTACGACCCTCAGAGAACTGACTCCCTCTTCTCTATCCTCTCCCTGGAAGCCAACCTTTACCATCTCATGCCACTCTCGCAGACAATCCGCCAGGACCCGGGACACGCCCCCACGAATGACTACTTTCCTCGGAGATGCATCTCTGCCCCGTGTCATCCGCAACCTCCTGTCTCAGGGCCTCTTTGGCCTCAGGGTTCCCACTGCCTCCCTCCCCAGCCCCTCACGGCTGCCCTTAGGGCTCTCCTAGTTCCCCGTTTTCAGTCCTGGCCCTTCTCCCAAGCCTGGGGTTCCAGCTGTCCCTCCACACGCGCGGGAGGTGCGGACTCTCCCGTCCCTACCCGGTCTCCCAGTCCCGCGGCGCCCGGCGGCAGCGCGCCGAAAGGCATCCACTGAGGAAACAAGTGCCTGCAACGCTCCGGCTGCGAACTCACCTCCAGTCCGGACTCTCGGATCCTGGCCCAGAGCCGGGCTTCCGCCTGGCGCGGTCCTCGTCGCGAGCGGAACCGGAAGTCCCGCCCCCCGCCCGCTCCCGGCCCGCCGGCCTGGCAGGGCGGCTGTTACCAGGGAGCGGGATCGCCAGCGCCCGGCAGCGGGCGACGGCCGACCGGCGGCGGCGGGCAAGGGATGAGGGCGGGGGCTTGGCCTGAAAGGGCGAGGTAGGCGCCAAAAGAATCCCCTCTCGCGCTCCTGCTGTTTCTAGTGTATCCATCGACCAGTGTGCAAATGCTTGACCAGGCGTCTGTTCTGCTCAAGCCCAGTGAGGCTCAACATGACTCAGACACTGACCTCCGCCCTCACAATCTAGCTGAAGGTAGACATAAGTAAAAACAGAAGTAAATCACGCCGCAAGACGGTGTATCTTCTTTCATCATTCAGATTATTATCACCTGCTATATATGGCCTGCCAACAACCCGGGACTGCTGCAGGGGCTGGGGATGGAATGAACAGAGGACAGCCCCCGCTCTCGTGGAGCTTACACTCAGGGCGAGGAACTAGCTATAGAATAAAACAAACAGCGGCCGCTTCCTCGGGAACGTTATGCACAGAAACACAGATAGAAAAGCAATGAAACCATCAAGGGTTAGAGGCACTCTGGTGGTGCTGTAGGCAACGGTGCGGTGTAGGGAGCGGGACAGAGAAGCCTTTCTAGAAATAATGACTCTTCAATTGAGACTGAAGTAAATGATGAATAAGAGTTAAAGGACAGGCAAGGTGGAGAAGGACATGCAGAGGAGAAGGATGCTATGGAGTGAGAGCTTGGCTTGCACAGGTAGCTGGCCAGGAGTTTAGCAAAGTATTTAGCAAAGAAATAAGTCCAGATCATGAAGAACGTTGTGCCTTGTGCTTAAAATTTTGGACTTCAGAGACTCCTTGCAACGGAATCAGTGGGATCATCTAAGGGAATAGACAAAACAATGAGTCATGGGGGGATTGTCCTAGCCATCAAAGAAAATATGGCTGGGGGGATTGTCCTAGTCATCAAAGAAAAATAATGGATTATGAATGGCGTGCTTTATCCTTGAGGGTGCTTTCTCAAACTGCCATACCCAGATGTAAAGGCAGTAGATGGCTACCACAACCCTGTAAAGGCAGGACCACAAGGGATCATACCCTTCAGGTTGCCCCATTGAGCAAATCACCCCAACCAACTGATATGCTAACTGAAGTCACAGGGAACTATGGAATGGGCCAAGAAGGAAGCTTCAATACCAGCTACAGTAAAGAGGACTGTTGCATTTATTGTTTGTTTGTTTTGCTTGCTACTAGTGTTCCTCTCTTGCACACCAAGCCCTTTCTTTGCCTTTTTAAAACGGAATGCTATAATACATAAATTTCCCTTCTTTTTCTGTCCTTTTGCCAGAAAAAGGCCTACATTGCAATATATGAAGGTAGGATTATAGTAGAAAATGAGGAATGGCTATCATGTAGAAATTCTGTACTTAAAGGACAGAACATCAACTCTAAGTGAAGTAAAATGTCACAGTTTTGGGTTTTCTCCCATTCAGAAGGTTAATACATGAAATAACCTTTTGTGGTGGTACGTGAAATAACTGAATTGCACAGTGGAGAGGTATATTTTTGAAAGGATGGGAAGAAAAGAGTGTGTATGTGGTGTGATGTGTGTGGGGTGTGTGTGTGTGTGTGTGTGTGTGTCCACGATGGATGCCAAGAAGTAGAATATAATAGACGCTCTGTGAAATGTTTCCTTATAGCTTCCCACAATTCCTTTTTTCTTTTTTTTTTTTTTTTTTTTTTTTTAGGAATGGCTGTGGAAGAAGGAAGCCCTTTTATGGGTCACATATGCACAAGTGACCATGTCCTAGTGTGACCAGCTACTCTGGTTTGCTAAAGGCTGAGGGGGATACCAGGATGCTGGACTCTTCGGTGCTTAAACTGGGATAGTTTTGGGAAAACTGAGACAAGTCGGTTGCGCTATTATGCCCCCTGTCTACATAACAGATTAATTCAGATGAGGGCATATCCTAAACCAGACCATTTAGACTCTTTGCCCTAGAAATTTTAAATGAGGCAGAAACACAAAGAGAATATAGTTACTCATTAGAACTGAGTCACACAAATGGCACTTCCTTATAGAAAAGATCTATTAACACCCTTTGCCAAAGACCCAGGACCTGCCCTGTTTCCTTTGGTTACAGGAGATATCCCTGTATAATTCCAAAACTTTTTCTTTTTTGGCTAGTCAAAGACGATTGCTGTTGCTTGCAACCAAAATAATCTTAAGGAGGGTATTTATGTCCAATCCCTATATAAGGTAATGTGCTCCGAGAGCCCCTTCTGAATGGGCACTGAGCTAAATGAAGCATACTCATTGCCACAGCAAACAAGACCAGGTATGAACACTAAACTCAAACAGGCCTAGAAAGTCTCACATGCATGGATTTTGCAATGCGCTTACAGGACTCCACTCTTGCATGCTTAATTAAAATGTTGTCTAAACCTAGAATTAGGTTAGGCATGAGTAAGTTGTTCAAAACTGATGGGAAAAAGGGGAGAGCAACAGGAATGATGAAAAGGAAATCAAGATAAGCAGAGAAAGATGGAAAAAGAGAAGACTTATCTGAGAGGTGATCATCTTAGTTCCCTTCTTTTCAGTTTTTGATTCCCCAGTCCCTTGTGAGATCCAGCTAAATGTTTTGCCCTTAAGTTCTATGAAAATTCTGTGTCCTTCCAGTAAATCCCCCATTTTGCTAAGAATCATTTTAGTAGGTTTCCCCTCCTAGCAATCAAACCCCAAGACATCAATTCGCAAGACACAAGGTTGCCTCCTCATTCTATAGCATCTGCCAGAACTCTGGAGCCACTTTCTCTCCTCAGTTTCAAGAAGAGAAGAAGGATTTGCCTCCATGGCTATCTGGTCAATTCAGGGAAACTCTCACATTACCATGGGTTTGATGACTTTACTATTAAAATCACACAGGTGGGGAGAATCATGCAATCAGAGTGTAAAGCTAGAAGGAGACTTTGGTAACCATGCATGTCAACAGAGGAAGGAACTAAATGTCCTTCCAGCTAGGCATAGTGATTTTCCTAAGGCCAAATAGCTCGGTCGTCCCAGAGACGGGACTAGTTGAAAATATCCCCTCTCCCAGTCCTGATCTTCCCAGTTAACTAACTGACCTTTGAGTGTAGAAAGAGTGCAACACCTAAGGAAACTACTGTGAAATCCTTAAAAGTGCACTATTCAGTCTCCTCTCACTCACCTCCTGATCTTTGGAGTTTAGCCATGTAAATGGCATCAGCCTGACTGCAGAACTCTGAGAGCTATTCAGAATCCATTTGTGAGTGACAGTAGATCATGGACAAGCTAATCTGAATCAGGAGAGAAAACTTTAAGGAAAATTGTCCTACTTTTTTTTTTCCATACTCACCAACTGGCTTAGACAGGTAGATAGGGTTAATTAACAGAGCTAATAAGGTTAGTTATTCATAAAGTTTATTTACACATTCTACATTCTCTTTAGTTCATACATAGGTATTTGTCGTTTCCTAATTTTTTTTTACCACCAACATAAACATTGATATCATTAGCAGTTGTATCTAAAACTATAGCCTCATACTTAATAATTTAGTGCCAATTTACTAAATTACTACTAAATCCTGTAATATAGAAATTTGTGGCAAAATCAACTAATCTATACTTGGGAGCAATCATAATAGATACTCCCTGCTATATTAACCATTTGGTGTAAACTTGCATTAACTACAGATTATAAATTGAGTGATAAATAAGGTCAGCCAAGGATCTCCAATTAATAATTCCTAACTCTTCTGCAGCATATTAAAGGCAAGATATTTTCTATGAATATCTTAACTTCTCTTAAAGTGAAAAATTAATTACTAAATTTATCGTGCCATTTCCTTCCTAATGATGTGCAAGTCTTACTCACCATCATCATCTCCAGAAATTTGGTACTGTTGCCCAGGCTGGAGTGCAGTGGCGTTATCTGGGCTCACTGCAATCTCTACCTCCTGGGCTCAAGCTGTCCTTCCACCTCAGCCTCCCAAGTAGCTGGGACTACAGGCATGCACCACCATGCCTGCCTAATTCTTGTGTGTGTGTGTGTGTATATATATATATATATATATATATATATAATTTTAAGAGATGGGGGTCTCCTTATGTTGCCCAGGCTAGTCTCAAACTCCTGGGGTCAAGCGATCCTCTTGCCCCAGACTCCCAAAGTGTTGGGATTGCAGGTGTGAGCCACCGCACCTGACCCAGAAATTTTTAATCTTCCCAAAATGATACTTTGTATTCATTAAACAGTAATTACCCATTTCCCTCTTCCCTCAGGATTTTGATCTAATTTTATGTTTGTATGTCGTACAAAAATATTTTTAGCACTGATTCATATCTTCTTGAGGTAAATACATTTCTAATTGAAATAATATTGTGCCTTATTTAGTTCTTTTCTCCTATAGAATCCAAATAAAACATATGATTTCCACAGGTACGCATTTCTGCTTCAGACCTCTTTAAGAGCTAAACCAAGGGAAATTCCATGTGTAAAAGAAACGTAACAGGGAGACTTGGCGTGATACTAAAAATCTGGGTGGATGTGTTAGGATTTTTATACAAGATAATACATTTGAACTCCAGTCCTGCTTGTTTCTCTGCAAAAACAATGAGAGTTCCACGTGTTTGATTGGTGCACAAGCCTCTCTTTGTTTTCTTCCCAGGAAAATCAAAACTAAGCAGAGATACTCTTGCTAGAGAAAGCTTCACCTGCTAAATTCCACAGCAACTAATAAAACGAGCCTTTGTTTTTCAGTAAAAATTTCACTCCATGGTTGGTAACTAACATAGACCCACAGCTCTAATCCTAACTTGGAAATCTCGCCAGTAGGTAAGTAACAGAATGAATTTTCAGTTCTGGGTCTCAGTGACAAGGAACATATTTCCTAAAACAGAGTTAACTACAGGCTGGGAATGTTGAGGCAAAACTTTTCCTGTAGAAACAATGGATGCATGCCTTAAAGGGGGATACACCTTCTGTACATGCTGATTAGTTGGTGAGAAGTCATTTATTTTTAGCATTATCTTAAAAACTTTTTAAAATCAAACGATAAAGCACAGATTGATTATATTTGCCTTGAGTAGACATGGTAGAACCATAGCAGGTTATTTCTGATCCCTCTGTATTTTTGGCCTGAGAGGGACCTTCTCCACATTGCAAATACTCGCTGCCCAGAAAAAAATGCCCTGCACATAGAGTTACCAGATAAAATATAGGATTCTCAGTTAAATTTGAATTTCAGATTATTTTGTAGCATAAGTATGTCCCAAACATCACATGGGATATACTTATAGTGAGAAATTACTCATTGCTTATCTGAAATTATATTTAACTGGGTGTCCTGCATTTTTATTTGCTCAACCTGGCCAAACCCTACTTACACACAAGTGAGGTTCTTTAAATATTTCTAAAGGAAAGTTTCCTTAAATATAATTAATGCAATTCCCATAACCCCACCAAAAGTGTGAAAAGAACATTGGACTGTCAATATACTATATAACTACCTAGCATTGTATACTTTTATTATTTTGTAATAAAAAAACAGAAGCAAGACCAAAGTCTGTGGTGAGTATTAAGAATTAAACAGAAAGTGTGTAAGACTGAATCAGAGAAACTGATCTGATTTCCATATGGCTATAAGATTAGTAACTTATGGATTGGGTGTTATTTAGTATGGTAGTCTAGGACTTTGCTTTCTGAGTGGATAAATGCCATTGAACCAAACTAATATCTTCATGTAATTACTCTTGAAGTACTTTGCTGTAGATTTTTAAAGTCATGTCTTCTTTTTATCAATTTTTTTCTGATGACAGTCAAATAAGAATTTTGGTATTGGAGGAGTACAACCCAAATAATGTTGGAGGGATTTGTGTGTCATTGATGAAAAATGGAACATTGAGATTACATTTACAAATAAACACGGAGAGATTGCTGACTTTTCTTTCCACACCCCCATCAATGTTCACACCAGCAGAGCCAAACTGTGTATAGTTTTTGAGACATCACTGCTGCCCTGGGGCAAAGTCTTGCCTACATATGTCCTCTATGCTTCCAACTCTTGAGACCTCAAAGTGAAGGCCCTTGCAAATGTCCTCTCTCCACCCAGGTCATACTTTTTCAACTAAACACAAAGGGTCACTCCTGAAACCCAATTCCCCAAATTCTCTTTGTTAAAACACTTCCTTCAATTTCTTCCTGCACCCCCTCTCTACATGGGAGAGAGATCAGTAACATCAAAAACAGACACCATATTATCCTTATTAGCTTTATTAGCCTGTTGCCCAAAAGAACGTTCTTATTCTTCTTCAACTAAGCAACGGCTCATCCATCTGGTCACTTAACAAGCATTCCAGGAGTGTCTACCGTTCTAGACGCTGGGAATACATTGGTGAACAAAAGAGACAACAGGCCGGGTGCGGTGGCTCACGCCTGTAATCCCAACACTTTGGGAGGCTGAGGCCAGCAGATCACGAGGTCAGCAGTTCAAGACCAGCCTGACCAACATGGTGAAACCCCGTCTCTACTAAAAATACAAAAATTAGCCAGGCATGGTGGTGTGCACCTGTAATCCCAGCTACTCAGGAGGCTGAGGCAGAAGAATTGCTTGAACTCAGGAGGCGGAGGTTGCAGTGAGCAGAGATCACACCAGTGCACTCCAGCCTGGGCAACAGAACGAGACTCTGTCTCAAAAGAAAAAAAAGGAGAGATAACAATTCTTGCTGTGATAGTTAATTTTAGGTATCAACTTGATTAAGAAATACCTAGAGAGCTGGTAAAGCATTTTTTTAGGTGTGTCTGTGAGGGTGTTTCCATTAGTATATTGAGTGGTGAAGATCCACCCTCAACATATGCAGGCACCGTCCAATCCTCTGGGAGCCTAGAGAGACACAAAAAGGCAGAGCAAAGGTGAGTTCACTCGCTCTTCCAAAGCTGGGATACCCTTCTTTTCCTGCCCTGGAACATCAGAACTCCAGGTTCTCTGGCCTTTAGATGTTGAGACTTGCACCAGCAGCTCCCTGGGTTCTCAGGCGTTTGGCCTCAGATTGAGAGGCCATTGACTTCACTGGTTCTAAGGGTTTCAGATTTGGACCCAGCCGTGCTACCTGCATCCCTGAGTCTCTTGCCTTTTCAGTTATCCATCACCCACCTTGCTAATTCCCAGTACTGAATTCACTGTTACGATAATTAATGTGGTTTCTTTTTGTTGATACAAGGAACTAGAAGGTAACCTTCCTGAAGTCACAAATGATGTTTTGTCTCTTACTCTAAGCAGTTAGAATGAAATCTAGCATACGATAGAGCTCAATAAAGATTTGTTGAATAAATAGTGAACAAATGTCATATCTGCTCACAGGCAAAGTAAATTTCCTGGACACTTAACACCCAACTCCAAACTTCCCATTAAGTAGTCAGAAAATTGCCTTAGCTTGCCTTGTCAGGGCCTTGATACGAGCAGCGACCTCCACCCATCACTCCCATCAGCCACACAGAGGGAGTCTGTGCCAGTCAAGAGAGAACACACGGAGAATGCAGGCAGAACAACCACG